GAAACCTACATACCAAATTTCGTTGAGATATCTCAATTTTTGCTCGAGTTATCGTGTACACGGACAGACGGACAGACGGACAGACGGACAGACGGACGGACAGACAGACATGGCTTAATCGATTTCTTTTTTCATCCTGATCATTTATGTATACATTTGTCTATATCTATCTCGATTCGTTTTGGCTGTTACAAACAACCGTTATGTGAACAAAATTAATATACCCTTGTGCACAAGTGCGCTCGGGTATAAAAAAACGAAGTAATGCATACATGCACAGTTTCGGTTTAAAACCGAAATAATGCATATGGTAAAAACCGAAATAAAGCATACATGCACAGATTCGGTTGAATTCGAAATAATGTCTAAATGCACAGTTTCCATATGCGCAATTTCGGTGCCCCGCGAATATTCGCAACAACCTGGATTTATATATTTACAATGATTAACAAACTAGCTAGTATTAAGGATCTCAATTCAGCAGCATTCTCTAAAGATTTTTGTAAACGTTTATAATATAATGTTACAACAATAACAATCAATCAACACCTACACAGCACGTTCCTACGGCAGTCTGTGGGTCTACATAACCGCAAAGACACAGATTTATATCTGGCCAAGGAACACACCTCAAAACTCTTTGGGGAATTTGTATACTGTTACAACAAGAACAACATATACAGCACCTAATTTGCATACGAAGGTGGACCATGAAAGTTAATTGTAAAACAAGAATTTGAATGATTTATTTATACTTCAATTTCAATTCAGATAAAAGCAAATTATTTTGCCTTTACAAAATGGGAAGTTAAATATGTATGTGTGTATAAATGATGCTACTAAATTAAATTATTATATTGGCTTAATTTTGAAGTGCAGTCCAATTAATGAAAACACCAAGCACTTTAAATCTTGGACCAAATAGTAAAAGCAACGTAGACCTTCCGGATCTTTTGACCGGTTTACATCGACAAGAGATCCTGTCTTCGAGGTAGTGAAGGATATATGTTCATCACCAATGACAATTTCCAATTCCTAAGAGCATAATTTATGTTAGGTGCATGCTATTGATATTTCAGTTTTCATTCACTAACCTGTCTGCCCACACGATCCGGTGGTGGCCAGGGTGAATCATCTTCAGCCATAATTTCAGAATCTAATATTATTCTTTTTAACTCTTCCATTACAGACTGATGTACAAAGGCTTCTTTGCGGATCATTGTATCGTTTTTGTAGTTAGAATTGTTGGCATACCGCAATTTACCATCCGGCCGGAACTCGAACTCCAGAAATTCATGACCGAACTTGCCTTTGTGGCCGACGTAGTATCGTAAATAGAAATCCTCTGTTGACATAATACTTTATAAATAATGTTAGCAATTAACTTAGATATGTGCGATAAATAAATCCACTCGTTTGCGTTATTTACTTAGCTAACCTCTTTTCTCCAAATTTGTATGCCGTGCGAAATGTCAAACTTTCACCAGTTTATTCACGAATGTTGCCAGAGTACTATAATTTACAAATTCACAACATTAGGCCCCTTTCACCAAAGAACCTTAATCAAAGAACGTAAATCTATAACAAAGAACGTAAATGTATAATAAGCGAAAACTCGTTACTTTGAAAATGTGCCGCCAAAGAACGTAAATCTACGTAAACCATGTTGCCAAATTACATTTGTTGTAAAACCACTTATGTATGCGATTTTAGAAGTATGGAGTTTACATCAAAATATCAGGAGCCATTTGTGCAAAAAATGTATGTTTATTTTGTTTTTTATTAAAATAAAATCTTAATCAGCTAAGTAATAATTTAAAAGTTGGAAGGAGCACTGCGATTTAGAAGTTTAGAGAAATAATGGCTAAGCTGGGGATAAGTTATTTTTGCAAACTTTCTCAGATTTTACTGCGGAGTTGCAACCTTTCATTTGACTGGCTGTGATTTCTTCAATTTTACATTTTATAATTTTGTGGCCCTCGCGCAGAAATTGCGGTTGTAGGCAATGAGTTTGCGGGGAGATGTATGGCTATTGAATTTATGAATGAAAGAGTTTGAGCGTGAAGAATATGAGCATGCGTTTATGAATTAAATTGTTATTGCTGTATTTTAGTCGCATATGCGTATATGTACATACGTATATTTGCATGAACACATATCATACATATCGTCACCTGAAATGCAAAAAAAACCGCAACAAACATCGTCGCTGATATGCAAAAAGACGAAACTAATGAAAATTCAAAATTCACTTTTTGATTGATATGTCCATCATATTTCATCGTATAAAAACTCGCACATCATTTTACTAAAAAGAAAATTATTAGTCACGACTTTTTACATTTCAGTTACGTTGTTCTTACGCCTTTTTGCATTTCAGGTGACGATATGTATTTTATGTCTGGATTAGAATGGAAGTAGCGGAACGGAGTGAATTGTCACTTAATTGGGCCTGAGCACACTAGCTTGCTCAGTCGGACTGAGCAGTCCACCACTCGAACGCACACTGGACTGGGCAGTTGGCCGAAAACAGGTTTCAGTTTTGTATACATGAACTACGCATGATTGTGTTAGTGCATGTGGCACATGCAAACAAAATGAAATAGAAACACGTGGTCTATGTGTGCGCGTCAGTCCACGGTCAATCCGCGATTCTCGCGGACTGAAATGAGCGAGGTAAACTCAAGCTCTCTTCCCCCTCTTATCCCAACAAAACCGGATTTAGGCGGACTGAGCAGTCCAGTGTGCGGAGGCCCATTATCTATTGTATGGGCAATCAATTCAAACGATTATAATGCACTTGAACGCAATGTAAAACGGAAACATCTAAAATCAATAGATCCTTACGAATTCGCCGCGATTTGTTACGATTCGCCCCGTGCATTACAACCAAGGTATTAGGAGGGAAATCGAATGAGTACATTTGCACAAATTATTTATTCATTTTAAATGTTCAATTTATTATTTTGTTTGTTAATTAAAAGGGATATGCCATTCATAAATTACAACTTCTCAACTTCCATATTAAAGAGGAAGTTTGTACAGCTCTTACATAGCGCGTGAATTTAATTTCCATACATTTGTTCAAAATTACAAAAGAGAGAAACTGTGCACTTGCGCATGTTAAATGCCGATGGCAAACAAACAAAAAGAGTCGCGGCCATCTTTTTTGTTATTTTATCTCTTTATTTCAATAACCAATCGCTTTTTCTTGCTTTCTTTGTCGCCGCAAAACCAAATTTGCGGTGAATTCATTTACAGAACTTGATTTCAAAACGGACGCAAATTCCTCTTGCAAACCTTCTAGACTCACTCGCCACACCTCAGCGCGTTGTCTCTTCTTATAGATTTACGTTCTTTGGTAGCAGTACATTTTCAAAGTAACGAGTTGTCGCTTTTTCTCAAGAAAGAACGTAAATCTATTACGTTCTTTGTTTAGTTTTACGTTCTTTGGATAACTTCCTTTGGTATGATAAATTGAGTTTTAACCATCTGGCATCACTAAAAATTGTGCTGCCAGCTGCTTTAAAAATAAAATGCGAATTTTTAGCGCAAAAGAAAAGGCAGAAACGACCTGTCAAATAATTAAAACGTGCAAAACGCGAATTGCAGTCTAAATGAATTTTAATTTAGTGCAATATAGTTAAAAAGTCGTTGTTGTAATTAGAAATTATCTTCGGTTGAAGCACGAATTATGAATTTAAAAAATTTCACACAGCTGTGGGTTCACGAATCTGCAAAATAAGTAAATCTCTGTGCATCAAAAAACAACAATGTTGCTGGTAATAACAGTAGCAGTGGCTGCAGGAACTATGGCGGCAGCGACGATGTTGATAGCAGCGACGTCGACGCCAAAGCGATTTGCTACAAAGTAGATGAAGAAAGTAGAGCGACGGCAATAGAAGTGAAAAGGAAAAAATGTAAATTGCAGCAAATAAAAGCCCTAGTACTGAAAAATACAGGATTCTTTGCATTTAACTGCTTTAAAAGTAGATACAAGTATTATTAAATGCGGGCTTAAGTTGAATTTTAAGAAGGTAAGTAAAAGTAGATAGGCATTTGTGTACTAATACGTGAAAAAATTCGATAAGTATTTTTCCCAGATTGCATGTGGTGATGTAAAATTGAATTTGTTGTTTTGTTGTAAAGCTGAAGCACACAAGGACAAAAAAGAATGGGGCAAAGGTGCTCAACATGCATGATTTTTGGAGATAGTTGAGAGAATTGCAAATTCTATGACCGGAGCATTGGTATGCGAATAGCAAATCTCTTCATATCCGTTAACTTTTTTTGTTACCAATACAAAGGAGCTTGCATACAAAATGGTCGCAGTTAAAACTGTAATAAGTTTCGCGCCNAAAATTCTATGACCGGAGCATTGGTATGCGAATAGCAAATCTCTTCATATCCGTTAACTTTTTTTGTTACCAATACAAATGAGCTTGCATACAAAATGGTCGCAGTTAAAACTGTAATAAGTTTCGCGCCGAAAAGGTGTAAAGAGTGAACAGAATAAGCGCATGTGAGGGGTTAGTTCCCATTATATCGGTCAAAGTAACTTTACAATGTTCAAGCGGGCTGTTAAGAAATCAACTGAAAAAAATACAGGATGCAACATGGAATTTGATATTCTCACCAGTTGTGCAGAAATTTGCTGGTTTCGAGCACGTGTCGCGCATACCCACATGGAGCCTAGAGAATAACGGGAGAGCCAATTGTTGGCTCCTCGTGGACGTTGATAGCATCAACGGAATATTTTCGATTGCGGTTCCGTTCCGAGTGAAAGTGCATTAAACCACATGTTATGGAGCATGTGCTGCATAAAATTTCCAAAATAAAAGTATATTTGTATATACTAGAAATTGTATGTGCACTTTTGCTCTGAAACTGGGAAACTCGGTCGCCCAACATTGTTGCTCAGCACTAGGGCGTCTGTAAAGATGAGAAATGAGGCAACTACACGAGGTTTGCAGAAAACCGGCTTGTTCGTGCAACCGGAAACAAGACCGAAAAAAGCTTTTATCAGTTGTTCTTGTATTTCGCAAACGCAATAAAACTGGCAGTCTCGGGTGCTCGCTAAGTTGATATGCCGTTGACTGTGTTTAGTAAAATCGATGACATTGAGTGCAACATTGTAGAGCGCCAGCTGCTCCCGAGTACTAGCTGGTGTAGTAATTTTGGCGCTGCCTCCTGCCGCGTTGTAACAAAAACAAACTAATGCAGAAATATCTGATATGATATAGGTTTTGACTGCAAGTTTTGACTTTTTGCTGATATCGTTATGTCCTGCATCAAAGGGCAATGTACGCTATACTCCTAATACAAACTTGGGCTTTACCGTGCACAATGCAAACCTAAAGGTAAGTACTGGATTGCATTGTTTTTTCTATGTACATACCTTAAATGTACTAACGAGTTGCTTGTAAATTATCGCTATAGCTGTTACTGTGGCGTTACTTCACACCCACTTCCTGGTGGAACAGTAATAGCTGGGGAAGGGCGCATATCTACATACATATGCATTTTGTAGGATGCAGCCACCCTGAGCTGTCTGAAATTCTATGCATAGAGAGGCGTCGGGCAGTCGGTATTCGGGACAGTAAATGTAAAGTTACTTTTGTTGTGCACGAAAAATTCTATGCGGCTTTATTACAAAATTTCTAAATAGATATAATAGATAAATTCACAAAATTTTGTCTTGTGAAATTCTCTATTAATACAAATTAAAGTAAGTAAAGGCGTAAATGTGTTATTTAAGATGATGTATACATTGGTATGTTCTGGGTGCAATGTCTGTATGTTAAGTCGTTTGTGATTGCTTTCCCTTAGTAAACATTTTTCGCAGGGGAATGGTAAGCATTTATAATTTTCTTAGCTAGAAATTCTAGATTATTCCATAATGTTAAGTACACAAAGAATTTTTCACAATATTTATATGCAAAATTGTTTATTTAAATTTTTTTGCCATTTTTTTATAAAAATACAGTTCATAATAATAATATTGGGAGTGTCTACTTACACGTGCCACGGTAACTTTTACCGTATATCCACGGTAAAAATTACACCGAAAGAAGTTCTGTCCCACTTCTCCGGCAACACAGAAAGGAACATCCTGAGTAGTAAGGGTTATAATCCCTAAGCGCGACCAGACCGCCTACGCAGAAAGAAGTTCTGTCCCACTTCTCCGGCAACACAGAAAGGAGAATTGTTAGTAAAGGTTATAATCCCTAAGCTCGGCCAAAGGCCGCCTACGCATAAAGAAGTTCTGCCCCACTTCTTCGGCAACACATAATCCACGTCTATGGTAAAAGTTACCGTGGCGCGTGTGTGTAGACACTGCCAATAATATTAATAGATTGGCGCTTACACATATGTAAGTTTTTGGCGGAGCTTCTCCTCCGATTGGTGGCGTGCGCCTTGATGTTGTCACACCAACGGGAGGGACCCGCAGTTTTACTGCTACAACACGACAGTCGGGTCTACGTAACCGGAACGACCCAGATTTATATCTGGCCAAGGACTGTCACTCCAGCAACACTCCCCAAAAAGTCTTTGGGGAATTTGTATGCTGCTACNACAGGAGGATGTGCCTAATGAATGTCCGGCATGCGGAGAGACCCCACATGACTCGAAACATCTCTTCGCATGCCCGGCAAACCCGACATCCCTAACGACCTTGTCCTTATGGGCAAACCCCGCAGAAGCTGCACGCTTCCTAGGGTTGCCGTTAGTGGAACTTGACGACAACGACTGAGATACCAACCGATCTGGGCGGGGTTGTTGTAGCCGCTACAACAACAACAACAACAACCCACAGTTTTACTGCTACAACACGACAGTCGGGTCTACGTAACCGGAACGACCCAGATTTATATCTGGCCAAGGACTGTCACTCCAGCAACACTCCCCAAAAAGTCTTTGGGGAATTTGTATGCTGCTACAACAACAACAACAACCCACAGTTTTACGGCGACTCCGAACGGCGATTGTATTTTTATGAGAAGCTGCTTCATACTATATCGAAAAAAGTGAAAATTAAATCTCTAAACTTACGCAATTTAATCAGTCTCATTGCGTAAGTCGTAAACTAGACTAAATTGTATGACACGACAACATTGGCATTGCCTACTATCGTTCTGAAAAAAATAAACGACGAAAATCGTCGAAAACTATACAGTGCTGCCAAGTTTTTTCGTTTTAATAAACTAGTCGAGTGGAAATTTTAGGCAATGACGTGAAATTTTCGATACGATTCGACTCTCGAAAAACGACTTGCATTCGACACGGCTCGCGCAATGAGGGTGAATAAATTTGCATACAAGTTTGCAACTTTCTAATTAGTTTTTCGAAAAATATTCAAGTGTGTGGTTTTAAGTCATTCAATTTTAGTGTAACAATGTGCAATTGAAGTTGCTAGAAAATCGCGTTGATTCTTATCATTTTTACCTTCCTTTTATTAGCTCGGGATGTAACTATGTAATATTCAAGGCGAATTTATATAAGGTGGTGTTACTAGCTCAGCTGATTTTGTGTATGTGCTTCGCCGCACGGCTTCTGATATCAAATTGAAAAATTTTGTTTGAATTTCTACACACACTCTTACAGATTTTGACAGTTTATACCGCCTAAGCAAAAACAAAATACATGTAAATTTTTATTTTTGTACTCCTGCTATCGCCTTATATTTATTAATTCGCCTTGGTAATATTGATGCGCCTAAAAGGTGCAGCGATTTCTAATCTCAAGTTACATACCTGATGACAATACGAATGGCAATTATAATAGGGAGGTTTTAGTTTTTTAAACTATAATTTTTTATTTCGCAGTTTCTTCAAAAAACAAAAAAAAAAAGAATTGTCTGAATATACTTTTCATGAAAGGAACTACTTGAAAAAAAATTGTCAAAAATCAACGCGATTTTCTACCATCTTCAAACNGAATTGTCTGAATATACTTTCCATGAAAGGAACTGCTTGAAAAAAAATTGTCAAAAATCAACGCGATTTTCTACCATCTTCAAACTTTCACTTGCTATACTAAAATTAAATCGGCTTTAAAACTACATACATAAAAATTTTGTAGAAAATCTGATTAAAAAGTGGAAAACATGTATGAAAGTTTATTCAATTTTCTAGCGTTTTGCACAAAGATTTTATTTTTAGGTTTTTAATTTTGTAGTGCATGCGACCAACATTTTTATAAAAAATTAACAGAGAAAAATTTAAGTAAAGAACTTTGCATATATTGTGAAAAATTCCTTGTGCCAATAATTTAGTGCGCACTCTGTTTTTTACTTCAATTACGTGAAAAATCTAATTATTTTCCTTTTCAGGTTCCTCAGGTTTCTAACACTGGTTTTCAGAAGATTTTCATAATCCTCATATACAGTATACACAAATTTCACAAAATATTGCATTTGAACGCGTAGCAATTCTTCGATTAACTATACCATCTAATAATAAAGTGTGTAAATAGAAAAGACCGATTTTTAAACCTGCTCTTCCTAGCCTATAATCGCGTCATCGTCAACATAACTGGCTGTTTAAAACTGCATTTAAAAAAAATGCATAAACCAAATGGTGCGTGTATTCACCTAGTAAAACGTCGACTTTATATCAAGGTACTTTCAACTACATATTCATTTATATACATTTTTCCAAATGGCTGAACTATTTTTAAAGTATGTTTTGAAATATTCAGCTTACAGATCGCCTATACTACTCTAATTAACTCTGCTGCAATTGTAATCAAAGCGTAATTGGATATAAGCACAAAGGTCAAGACTTGTCGCTCATCCAACAATTTATTACCTGGCACTCTTGGAGCAATTTTAAACGACAGATTAATGTTGTCAATGTACACATTTGTGAATGTATACACATTGCAAAACTAAGAATTCGGCAGATACAATAGCAAGATATAGATGTAAAAAAAATGTAACCATACTCCAACTTAGTTACAACTACTTACATTTGCAGGTTTGTATATGTACATAAATGACATATATGTACATACGTAAACATATGTATGTTTAAGGATACAACAGCTACCACTGCAAAAATAGAGTAAAAGAGCAAAGCCAGAGCTGCTAATAATTGGATATTGAGTGCTGATTAAGAAACAGCTGATCAGCAAAATATTTTTCATAAAAAAAGAAGTAAACCGAGAAATAAAAACTCGCATAAAACTGTTACATACACACCTTTCAACACATTTGATTGTAGCCCATAAGCACAAAAAGAGAAAGTCTAAAACGAAGTCTTATGTTATAATGTCAGCATACGGAGTAACATGCTATAATGGTAACAGCGAAAAGATGCGCAGTAACGGCACGAACGGCAGCTCTTGCGGTGTCCATCCACAGACGAGAGTGGCTGCATGCAGCCCGTCTAACAGCCCGAGCAGCAGCAGTAGCTCGAATCTTCTACAGTTTCTCACCATCGTCTTAGCATGCGTGTTATGTTACTGGAATAGCGCGCAATGTGAACTGGTCTTCGATGATATTAGCGCCGTACGCGACAACAAGGATTTACGTCCGTATACACCGCTTGGTAATATTTTTCTTAACGACTTCTGGGGTACACCAATGCGCAAAGAGCAATCGCACAAATCGTATCGCCCGCTCACTGTGCTTACTTTTCGTTTCAACTATTGGCTGCACGAACTACAACCATATGGCTATCACATTGTAAATGTAATGCTACACATTGTTGTGTGTCTGTTGTGGCGCCGCGTGTGCAGACTGTTACTACTGCATTGCGCCGGCGCTGGGGGAGTAGCGGCTGCTCCCCTGCATTGTAATGGTTTGCGCGTAAACACTTGTAGCTTCTTGGCGGCACTGTTGTTTGCTGTCCATCCCATACATACAGAGGCTGTTACCGGTGTGGTAGGGCGTGCTGAGCTACTCTCTTCTATATTTTTTCTGGGCGCATTTCTCTCGTATACAAGCGCTGTTGAAGTATCGCCCCTAGTTCAACGTCGGCATTTGCAGCAGCAACAACAGCCTTTTTTAAAGAATCGTTGCACTCGCTGGTCGGTGTTGTGTTGCAGTTTTGGCAGTAGCTTACTGGCTTCCATGCTGTGCAAGGAGCAAGGCATCACCATAGCGGCTATTTGTGCTGCTTACGAGTTGTTCGTTGTGCAGCAGGTGCGCCCACGTGAAATTTGGTTGTGTGTGCAACGCTTTTTCGAGGACCGAACACATATTCTAACACCGCAGCATGCAGCTAAAGGTACCGCAGCCTCAGCAACCAGTGCATCGTCGTCGCCCGACGAATATAGTCGTTTAGGAGCTAACGGGCTTTGGAATGGCAGTTTGTTGCGACGCTTGTGTTTTATTATCTGTATTACGGCTGCACTTTTGATCGGTCGTGTTTACGTGATGGGCTCGCAACTTCCGGTCTTCACACGTTTCGACAATCCAGCTTCTGCGGCGTCGACACCAACCAGGCAGCTCACCTTTAGTTATCTCATTTACCTAAATCTGTGGTTGATGTTATTTCCTAGTGATCTATGCTGCGATTGGACAATGGGTGAGTTTTATTTTTGAGTAGTTTTTTTTTTTTTGCACATTAGGGCAAACGTATTTTCATTAAAAATGTTTGCCTTGGAAGAAAAATTAGGCACATATTCTAAAACAATTGACGATTTCAAAGCTATAAAACTGTCGAGCCTTAACCGCCAAAAAACGTATTGTTCTAACATTTTCTTTTTAGTGCAGAAATGCCCCTAGAGCATCCAGATGCAATTCTGCATCAAAAATAATATTTTGAAAAAAAAATTACGCTCACATTTTTTTGGCGGTTAGGGCTCGATGTGTATGTATTTTTTTAAGAAATGTGCGTAGATTTTAAAGTTTTTTGGTGGACATGAAAATTACATATCGAACCCTAACCGCCAAAATAACGTAAGCGACATGTTGGTAGATGCCGAAAAGAAAATTTTGAAAAAATGTCGCTTACGTTATTTTGGCGGTTAGGGCTCGATATTAGATAAGGCTAGTGATTGCTAATAGATTTTAAGTCACTCAACTCGACTCTCAGCTCAGAATTGCTGTATGAAGCCAATTCTTTTGAATATCCCATGATAAAAACATAGCAAGGTAGAACCGTTCTCTCAATTTGTCGGCCATGATTATTTTTTTTGAAGTTTGCCAGCATTTTAAAATCATATAAAATTGAAAATAAAAAATTGAAATTGTTCGAAATTGTTGTTGCTTGAGATTGAAAATGAAAATGTGTGTGTGAGTTTGTGAGTACCCTGCAAACCAAAGTTCCCGAAATCTTAAGGAAATCTTTAAGAGTATCTCATTTCTGTAACGATTTTTTTACGAATTTTCAAAGAAAATTATATGAAGTGGTTGACACGAACTCGTAAAGAAATTTCTGTACGAAAAATAAAGAAACTTCTTGAAAAATTCTGAAAGATATTCTTCACATAGCAGCATTAATTTCGTTGCTTCACAGATTTTCTTCCGAAATTTCGTAAAAGAATGGAAGTGTGCGTAATTTATTTTATTTTAGAAAATTCGGCAAAAAATCGAATTAAATCTTAACGAATTCCTTAAAATTTCTTTACAATGCAGAATACTCTGAAAAAATGGTTTGCAGGGTAAATTTAAAAATTAAAATGTTTGGAAACGTCAGCGGTTCTACCTTACTATATTTTTATCATGGAATATCCTACCCTGAAAATTCATATTTTTCAATCGAGAATTTGGAAGGAACAAGGGATATTAAGTGTTATCATCAGCCGGTGTATATGGTCTTGTATTTGCAAATTATATGCTTGCTACCAAATCAACCGTTTCATTTGCCCCCGGATTGTGATTAGCCTTATTCTTTAAAGTCCTTTGTATAGTTTCCAGAGAAACAAAACCGACTCGACCATGCTCGAATTCTCAAAATAATGCCAAAGCAGAACATTTCACAATTTTTGCTTACGATATTTAAGAAACCTGACGACGTGATAGACCTATTCTGAGTTGAGATTCGCGTTTAGCTGCTCAAAATCTATTAGAAATGGCTAGCCTTATCTCAGATAAAATCAAAAGTTCAAAATTTGTTGATTAGTATTATTTGAAATAATAATTTTCATTTTATGTAAGGTCACCAAGATTTTACAGGAGAGATTAAAAATGTATGCTCTCTTGATCAGCGGTATCGTAACTATGATGTTATTTTGCAGTATATAGTCTAATTTTTGGCACAAATGTCAGTTACGCGGTTTTGTAAACGACGGTAGGCGGTTTTGCACTTTAAACGACGATATGTATGTACATATCGACGGCCAAGTGGAAGATCGACATATCTCGGCAGCCAGTTCGAAAACGCCCTGTCTCAGAAAACTTTTTGAAAACTCCTTATTATTAGATTGAAGAATGCCCAATTTCAGAATTTGGTGCAAAAATGCCCTATCTGAAACTTTCGCAAAAACTTCCTTAGATATTCGTTTTAGATACTGTATAGAGACGTCCAGACGTGGCAATGCAATATATTTTGAAAAGGCTGTCAAATAGTGTAATTTCAGAAAGCACTTGCATGAGCAGTCACACCTTGCATATAAAGTGTCTTTCGAAAGAGGTTTTTTTTTCCGAAAGACGAATTGCAGATTGCTAGTGCATTACAAGCAAATTTTATTTCTAAAACTAGTTTTCGAAATGTGACAGATTGGCCTTTCTGGCTGTTCACACATCAAAATAAAATTTCTCTTTCTCAATTTGACAGCGAATTGCGTGAGAAGTTGGAAATATTGCCCCGTTTGACACGCTCTTATTAAAACAAAAAAAATTCTTCGAAATTTATAACACATCCATATTTTGAATTTAAAAAAAAATCATTATTAAGAAGCGCTGTTAAACTTAAATTCTTTGGAATAGTTTGTGTGAAAATTTCAAATCGATCGGTACTCAAATGTCTGAGATATAGCGAGTTAAAATGACAATTTTGTAAAAATTTGCAATCACGGTATGTTGTTTTAATTCGCGCAAGTGAACGAAGACGCGACTGAGCGCCGTGACTGGTTTGGCGCGCTCTAAAACTCTTTACAACCCGGAGAGATAAAAAAGTAACTTTTTTTATTAATGATTTCTATGTTAAAAGACCTGATATTACAACAATAAAACAACAATAAAACCTGATATTACAACAATAAAACAATATTAAAAACGATCATTATTGAGAAAAATTACAAATAAATTTTTGCTTCGAATTTTCACCGTGAAAATGGGAAAATTTTTGGAAAACAAATAGCACCATCGGACATGGGCGTCGCCAGGATCGAATTTTGGGGGGGCCCCACATATTAAAAAATCCCAAAATTTTCATCTTTACTCATTCATGTTTCTGGCATGCGGGAGGCGATATGTACTTGCCAATTTGTTTTACAAAAATTATTAAAAAGTAGACGTCTCGGTTGCTCAGCAAACCGGTTAATCATTTCTGCAATTATTTCCATATATATAATACTTCTATATTGGCAGTAAGCTAACTTCTCAATCTGTAAGCATTCCGAAATCAAAGCGAGACAGTCTAGTACCGTTTTTGTCAATGTATTGTGTACTTCAGTGCCGTTTTTGTATATGTGTTGTGTACATGTTTATTTATAAACGTATGTGTTCCTTTTCTTTCGTACTTGTTTATTGATACATCTGTACTGTAGTGTTTTCGGACGGTACTAGCTCTTACTGCCAATATAGGAGTATTACATATATGATTATTTCACATTGATTCTCTAAAAAAAATATTCGATGTATTCTTAAAATGCATAAACCTAAAGGTAAATATTATAGGAAATTAAACTAACAATTTATTAAAACTAGTAGTAACCTCGAAATACGGGTGAGTACTTAGCTCAAAATTTATTTAAAGAACTTCGTGAAAGACAACATTTAATCTTGTGTTGCTAGACACCTGATAACCCATGATAAATTTTAAGTTCTTAAAAGACATTACTCTACTCTAAGCTTCGTGCAGTGGGCCATGAGAAAACCGTCATCTTTAAGGTATAGTCCAATCTTTCACAATATCTGGTATTAGTCTTAATCTGAAACGCAATAATCATTGAAAATTGGCGTCGTTCATGGTGAAAAGTATTTAATATCACACTTTCAAACAAAAGCTTTCTTAACCCTAGAAGCCTAATCTAATTGGGAGTAACGTAAAGCCTTAACATACTACGTAGATTCTTATGCACTTAAAAGATAATCTGTGAGCTAAAATATACTTAGTCCTGTCTTATTTTTTTAAAGAATATTGAAGTTGTGAGTTTGACTAATAATAAAACATAGTTTTGTTAATAAAAACTATAACCACATTTATTTTTATTTAAAACAACAAAATAAAAAGTAAATTTTGTGTTAAGATTAAAAAAAAATACCCATTCCATATACGCCTCTCAGACGTAGATTATACTTTTAGGGTTGATCCTTTCAGTACACAAATTCAACCACTGGTTATACAAAATTTTAAATATGTATACCGGTTAATTTTGGATCGTTCATTTAAAAAATCCTTTTTAATGGTCAGTGATATCCTAGGTGTTTAAAAAAGAAAGGGATCTCAGCTATTTTTACTTTTTGCTTTCGTGAAATATATTTCAAAACTATGATTAATACCTAGTAACTTTTCCGAATCTTTTCCGAAATTATATTAGTCACTATCGACTTTTCTGCCGCTTTTTACTTTTTTGACAAACACGCTCATCTGCAACTGCAGCTGCACTTTAGTTTGATATATATGTAGCTCAATTCCAGGGCTGCTACAGATCGGCCTAACTAAGACGTATGACTGACGATTGGTACATTTGTACAGATNTGATAAATTTTAAGTTCTTAAAAGACATTACTCTACTCTAAGCTTCGTGCAGTGGGCCATGAGAAAACCGTCATCTTTAAGGTATAGTCCAATCTTTCACAATATCTNTACCTAGTAACTTTTCCGAATCTTTTCCGAAATTATATTAGTCACTATCGACTTTTCTGCCGCTTTTTACTTTTTTGACAAACACGCTCATCTGCAACTGCAGCTGCACTTTAGTTTGATATATATGTAGCTCAATTCCAGGGCTGCTACAGATCGGCCTAACTAAGACGTATGACTGACGATTGGTACATTTGTACAGATTTGTACATTTTGGCAGTTACAGAGTAGTGTTGTTTGCAAATTCTTTTACTGAGCTGAACACAAATTTCTAAAGAACACCACTCTATGACTGCCAAAATATACAAATTTGTACAAATGTACCAATCGTGTGACACTGTCTTTAGCCCAGTACCACATCCGACAGCTTCAAAATCAAAAAGGAATAGGAACGACAATATAAGCCTGTTCCCGCATTCCATGATTTAGTGAGAAATTGTTCGCAAAATATATGATAAATGTGTGAAAGGAAACGAATTCGGACTATTTCGGACTATATTCTGGAGTACGGGAACAGGCTAGTTTTCTGTAGCTAACAGTGATACCATATGCAGATTAAAGGTGGTATGTTCAATGAAAGGAAACAAACTTAATCGATGATATTTTTTGTTGTT